ACCATCAATTCAACCTAGACATTCAATAAAAGGAGAAAGGTAATTCTTTCATGTGCAGCGCTATCACAACAGACAAAGCAAAGGCCCCTACAAATTAGCGATTGGCATGTGAACCCCTCATAAATTTTTCATACGTAAGATCTTTCGTAAAAATTCATCTGCAGCAGAACGGCTACTCAGAGTAAATTCTTCTCCATAATTCACAGCAAGACTATCCCGAATACAAGGACGTCGAGGACTCACTGACCCATGACAAGGCTACTGAACCCGCTTACATTGAAAAAAAGCCAGTCACTTATTCAATAGAGGCGGTTTGAATGTTCTAGCCGTGGCTTTGGAACCGCTTATGGGTCCACTTAGATTCAGTGTAGGGTCAGGAGCACATTAAAGTTTCCGGAATTCTTCTTGCCTCGAAATAACTATATGCTCCAGCTGTTCTTTGAATGTTTTCAGCGGAAATGGCTTCACGGATGTGCGCGGCTAAAGCTCCACGCTCAGCATAGGAGACCACATGGTCCATCAAGAACGTGCTGACCAATGAGCTGAATGAATCCCACGAAAATGCCTCAACAGTCCTGAAGCTTTAAGGTTGTCTTTGCGCCCCGCAAAACTAGCCTGCTTAACAAGCTCCTCTGGGAAACCAGGTCCACAATCATGAGTTTAAAGTCAAAAAAAAGGACAAGCACTCATCGCAAGCGCAACGCCACTGTAGAAAAGGCGCTGTAAAAAGTCGGCGCTGGTAATTTCTTCAATAAGCGTCACGCATCGAAATCTTCCGATCACAATAGTTTTACTCCTTGAAGTGGAGCAAAAAGGCTGCAAAGCTAGCCAAGTATTATGGTAACCACCTTTCCTTCCTATCCAGCAATGAATGGTACCTCCTAGGTCTTCATCTCATGTTGGGTCCACAGCGGCGTCGATCCTGCGTATGATTAAAAAGTGAGTACACAACTTCAAGAAATACACAACCTAAAAGCTGCTCGCGTCTCAGATATGGGAGCATGATTTCTCGCTACACACTCAATCGCTAGAGAAGGACAACATAAACAGTTTGCCACACGTAGTAATTTGGCGAATTCCGCATCATGAGAAATAGCCCTTGAGTAGTTGGACCAATTTTTCTACGATTGATTCGTTTTTTGGGCAATATTGATATTGCATTTGGATCTTTTTGGACAACATTGTTCACCTTAGGGTACATATAAACAAATAAATAAACTATTCGCTGCTCTGACTGCTCTACTGGAAAGAATAATGACTAATTCTAGCCAAATACCTTTACTTCTTCGTCGCTGCTTTCGCTCTCATCGGAATTTTCATTTGTATTACCACCACTATCAGCATCACTCGGCTTTTCTTCCGTGATATTCCCGTCACCGCCACTCATTTTATCTCTGAAACTAGAAATATTCAAGGTCGGGTCATACTTTGCAGCGAAGTGGATAGATGCGTCTCGATCGTGCAATGGAGAAGTATGGCCCAGCTCTCAGAAGGTGTGGGGATCACAAATAAGTTGAAAAATGAAGAAAACCATACCGAATAACTAGTTTCTCG